GCATATTGTCGGCTGCGCGCAGGGCAAGCACCCCTTTCAAAAAACAATGCAAACTGCACTCTGGGGCAAAATCTGGATCATGCTCGGGCACCCCGCGATCACTGTGCATTGGCTTTTGACTGGAACGGCGGGGGTGCTGGCATACTGCCTGCTGTGCGCAAGCCCAACAGACACTGTGATGGCCACCCCGCCGCGATTCTGCACTCGTTTTCGACAAGGGTGGTGGGGGAAGACTGCCAGCTTTCTCTACGAGGTGACACTGGCACGCTCTGCACGTGCCCTGTGGCGCACCTGGCGCGGCTGGAGCATGCGGCACACTGGCGCACGTAGATCACGTGGCGCATCTGGCGCACCAGGCGTGCCTGGCACGCTTGGGCCACAAGGGTGCCTGGCGCACCTGACGAGCGTGGCGAGCCTGGCACGCGTGGCGCACCTCGCCGCAGCGTTGCGCACATGGGAGTTGTTTGGGTTCCCATTAGCTGTCCATTCAAATATGACCTCTGAACATGCTGAGGCCCGGGTGCTACGCATGTGAGTTGGAGAGGTAGGAGTGAGCAAGGCAGCTTGCGGGCGGGGAGGGTGTCTTCACCCCTCCTGCGCAGCCCGGACGGGGCGTTCCGCGAGACGCCGGAGCGCCCAAGACAGCTTCGGCGAGAAAGCCAACATCACTGATGTTGCTCCGGTTTCGGCCACATGGAGGAGGAGGAGGAGGATGAGGAGGCTGGACCCCGTGAGGGGGACCCTAATTGGGGAGCTCCCCTCTCTTGATCGATCTCCTCCAAGAGGGCCCCAAGATGGCCCCCGAGGCCTCCAGGGGTGCCCCAAGATGACCCCAAGAAGGGCGCCCAAGAAGGGCGCCCAGGTAGCCTCAGGAGGCCCCCCCGATGAGGCCCCCAAGAGGCCCCCAAGAGGCCCCCAGGATGCCCCCAAGAGGCCCCCCAGAGGCACCCGAGACGCCCCACGAGGTCTCGGCGAGAATGCCAACATTGATGTTGCTAAGGTGTTGGCGACATTTGGGCCCCGTGGGGGGAGGGACTATTCAGGAGCACCCCTCCTTTGATCGATCTGCTCCATGGTGGCCCCAAGATGGCCCCCGAGGCTCCCAATCGAATCGGAATAAGATTGCCGCATCCAGGCTCGGCTGGCCACGGCCGATACCGGTGAATCCAAGCGATATCGAATCGAATCGGAGATCTACTCACCCGGGCCAATCCAGACCGGGGTGAGTCAGGCCTTGCAGGATCTTGAAGGATCCCGCAAGATCCTGCACCCAAAATCGGGTCAATGCGACCCTGGCTCTGCAGGATCCTGCAAGATCTGGCGCTCTGACTGACCCCCGTTCGCATTGACCCCCGTACCACGAGCCCCGATCGAACCGGAATCGCAGCCCTGGCCAGCGAATCGAACCGCATCGAATCGGATCGTACGGTCACGGTCCTATTCTTAGCGTGTGTGATTTCGGGCCTTGTGAAGCCGAAGCCGTTGACACGCTGAGCAGCGCAGGGGCGCACACGCTAAGTGGCGTCGGGTGAAGCGGCCCTCCGACGTACACGCGAGACGCCACAAGACGCCATGCGCAGGATGCACGCGAAAGTGCGGAGCACTCGGCGTGTAAAGGCGTGCTTCCAGCTACTCCCTAAAAGTCTGACCGTGGCCGTAGGCGGCCGTGGCGGGCCCGTCGCCTGGCTGCCGCGGGGGCTGTGGGACGACGGACCGTGCGCTGACCTCGACAATTCGCCACGACCTCGCCGCACGGTCCGTCAACGCGCGGTTTTGGGACCTCGGATGCCCCAGTCGCCCGAGTCCCAGAACCGTGCAGGGCAGTTTTTTTTTATACATAGGATCTCAAGAAATATAGATGTTTGATACATGATTACTGTATGAATAACTGTATGCATGAACTCATCGTTGCAGTTAATGCTAAACCCTGCATTTTTCATACACGATCCGCACGCGGAGCGTGCATTATGAACGGCACTGTGCGGTGACCCCGAAGCCCCACCGACCCGCCGCGCGGTGTGGCCCCCACCCCGTCTGGGGGCCCGACCCTTTCCCCGAGACCGGTTTCTCGAGGAGGAGGAGGAGGAGGAGGAGGAGGAGGAGGAGGAGGAGGAGGAGGGAGGAGGAGGAGGGGGGGGAGGAGGATGAGGAGGAGGAAG